AAAAAAAAAAAAAAAAAAAAAAAAAAAAAAAAAAAAAAAAGGGAAGAACTTAATAGGTCTGGAATGGTTATGTACACAATTGTCACATGTAAAAAAACGTTCATTTCGTGTAACCAAAAAGGGTAAATGTGCCATGAAATAACTCCCAAGGCATATATCATTAGGGTACATATGCTTAAATTCCTTTAAGCTGTTAAAATGGCAATTATCCCAATTACATGTGCAATAGGAAAACGCTTAAAAAATTTTCCTTTCACATTCGGGGGGTAACAAAATGTGTGTATACTTGTACATTTGGGGAAATAAATTGTCACCCTCCTTTTTGGCATGTGTATAAACGAAACATATGCATAAGTGTAGCTTCCAAAAAAAAAAAAAAAAATAGAAAACCAAAACGGGGAAGAAAAGAAACGATACGAGGGAAAGAACAAGCGATTGATTTGGTGACTATCCCTAATCACAGTTTAACTAGTTTCAGTTTCTAAGTCCTTACACAAAATCTGAGCCGCGAGAAAGATCCGCTAGTTCTCGTGAAATAACTCATGAACCAAAAAAAAAATATCCCAATTTTCTCAATTGCCAATTCGCGGGTTGCCGATTACACACCTCACATTGTGGAATTCAAAATTCTAAAATACAAAATTGCAAAACTTCGATCTTGACACCAGCTTCACACATCTCTTCGATTTTTGGCGAAGCAGCCAAATGTAAGATACCATGTGTGATATAACACGCTTTCACCATTTTTTCTGCAGCTGAAAAAGGGGGCCAAGCGTGTGTATTTATGTTCCCTTTAATTGTCTCTTGTGGAGAAAAATTTAACGCTTATTACACTTTTTTTTTGGGGGGTGTATTACCCGGCAACCCTGTTGTCCCCTGGTTTGAGAGCTCCCAAAGGGGGAAGACGCACAGGGAAGACTAAGACATAGGAACTGTCGCAGGGGTGAAAACACCCCCAAACAGTGACCCGTAAAAATGCTACCCATCAGTGACCTGTAAAAGTGCCACCCATCAGTGACCCGTAAAAGTGCCACCCATCAGTGACCCGTAAAAGTGCCACCCA